TTACATATCGTTAAAAGGTTTCAAAACAAATGAGAAGGGTTCTTAACTGTTCACTTTTGTGCTAAAAACACTCGATGAAGTCACCATGGAATCACGGTTCTACAAAATGGTTGGTGTTCATACCAAGAACGACTGATTACTGAGTCACTCCATATGTGGATAAATGTAATAGTTTGGACACATGGTAACGTGAAGCTAACTGCCTCTTGACAACTTACGATTGGCAAGTAGTAAGCATCACCTGTATTCACCTTCATCAGTCGCCTGTTCAAAACAGCAAACAATCTCGATTGATCCGATGCATTAGTTCAAGGAAGTTGACTCCATGGATTGATATAAGTTGGATAACCATGGAAAATTGGACAGCACTGTACAGCTGGTTCATTTTAGTTAGAGATTCCTGTGCACTGCGCACCAAGTGATCGGTGCAAGAAGTCAAACGCAGAACCATCATGTCTGACGACAAAAATATTACCACTAACCCACTGCGTTTCAATCAAAAGATCCATTTCTTCTTCTTCTTCTCTCATTTCGATTCAGTAAATCACTATCATTGAATTCGTCAGTAGGCATCACCTTCACTTACCAAGTGTCTCAAATTGGAAACCAGGCAGCTATACAATGCTCTCTAGTTTTCAGTCGTTCTCCAAATCATGACAACCCGTCAAAAAACTACCAAAAATCAACAAATCCATTATCATCATTTTTCCTATTTTTCATTTAACATCATTTCATCCCCATACACATTGGTATAAGTGATATACATAGATATATGATGCCTCATTGCAGATGCAATTACACAATAACTAGATATTACCAATGTTCTTTCCTAGGATTTCAATAAACGAGGCCAGGAATAACAATACACATGGTTTCAGCCAATCGACAGGAAGCCTCGCACTTACGTTTCATGTTATTTAGCACTCTTCATCATGGAGTGCCCGCCCATTGCCTCATCCAACTAACGTCTATCAAAATACACTGCATTGGTGGATCTACTGCATTGGCGAAATGATTGATGGAATTCGATTAGCTATCAGACTAGTCAATATAAAATTGATTTCCCTCCAACGACCAGTCAGTGTACCTAATGCAGTCCTACTGAGAGTCAACCTCATTCCGGATAGCTCAGTGGCAAAGTCCCTGATTACAACCCTGGGTAATGCGGGTTCAGATTTCAGGCAGGATATCGGTTCCATTGAGGCTAAACATGGGCTTTGCTGACGAGTCCTAACAACCTTGAGAGACTGATTCAAGCCTTCCTCAAAATTGCCTTCATTCAACTAGTACATTTAGGCAAGTTTCAACCATATTAAATGTCAACATCTTACTCAATGTTCAGTTTTTTATGATCCAATTTGTTTTGATCATAGTTCATGACCATGAATTAGATCCCTATTTACACATATTCTTCAACCAATCAATTCACCTGAAAGTGAGAGTTGTTTAGTGACCAACTTCTTGAAATAAACCCCTTGAACATCAACCTAAAAACTATAAATCAACAGAGTCAAATAGCAACTCCACACATTATTGTGTATATACAGGGTCTAATAGATAAGTTTAAAAGTCAGACTGAATAATTTCTTATCATATTATTTCGCATGATTAGTTGAGAATGACAGGTCTAAATCAATCCAACTGAAGAGATTCTCAGTAGTCTGTCAATGAATCAATAATAAGGTACATCCAAAAGCTAAACAGCATTTTTACGCTCATCCAATCAAAAACCCACAAATAAACAGACTCAAAATGTCATACCTTTTGTAGCAAAGCAATAATGACAACAATTTCTGAAGGAATGCAATAGAAAAATGTAGATATGCTGACATAGATCACAATGGTTAGCAACGTCTCTTCATTCGCTGGTAATTGCTCTATGGTAAATCACAAACAGCATTGTAACTAGGCCGTTTAGTTATCAAAGTTAACCAGGAACAAATGTCTGAGAATATGGAGTGGCTTTAAAGGCCACCATAGCAACATCTAAAATATCCATGAGCTTTCTTTTATCCTATGATAGAACCACTGTTTAGACATAAAATAAACGAGTTCAACTGGTTTTTGACTTGTTTCTTCATCGTTCCACTTAAAGATATCAACAGAATCAGCTGCACTACCAGAGGAAAGCTAAAATATGCTGACCAGAAAAAGAAAAGATGAATTATCCACTGAAAGCATAGGAATAGACAAAAATGACATTAGCAGAGAAGAAAACCATTTCCCTTCCAATTAAGTCATTCACTAAGCTGTGCATACGTCAATAAATGTTACCGTGGGTAGAAGATTCAAGAATTATTTCCGGTCAGGGGTCAAAATATAGTGAATAACGAAAGGAAGTGAAGTGATACAAATTAAGGTTTCGAGTAAGGAAATAAACAAGGGATTATGAAAATAAAGGTATAGTCATTTGATACAGGAATTAACCATAACGATCAAGACTTTATGATTCCCATGGCAAAGACAAAAATTAGATGTAATTTTTCGGACACAGTGTTTGGTTGGACTTCCTAATTGTTAGTGCTTAAGTTGTCCTGATGTTATTTTCTTTGAGTGTTTTGATCAGACTCTGTACAGAACTTTAAATCAAGTCTCCAGAGGAGCTGAGTGACCTGAGTTCACAAGGTGTTCTGTTATCAGGCCGCAGATGCATCACCCACATATCTATCAAATTCCATGTAATGACTCTGAGGTCAAGTACATAGGTCAAAGTAGCCAGTCGGGGTCAGTAAGAATAGTCGAACATGGGAATTTAGCTAAATGTAGAATGACAGACCCGAGTATGATCAATAATCTGAAAAAAAGACATGGCAGTTGCATTGCATGCATTAACATACAACCACAACAATAGGGTGGGACAAAGCCACTATACTTAGTCCAATATAAATAGGTGGGGAGAGAGATATTCATTACTGAATCTTTGTTCATAGAATCAACACGCAACACATGTAATAGAAATGATGCAACACCTATACCAGAGATATGGAAGATTTTACTACCAATAAAAACAAATCACATGAGGTGACAGAACTATAAAAATCAAATGTTGAAAATTGTGTGATTATTTGATATGATTATGAACAATAGTAGTTCATGCTCGAAACGTCATCAAGTAAATAATACTGTATCACACTGTATGTTATAAATTAAATAAACAGATCCAATTTTGAATTAAATTCCACCACGGTGACCAAGTTTAACACTTATACTATTTGACGTTCTTTCATCCGCTTGTGCTGTTTAAAACATTGCAGAGATGACCTTCGCAATTGTGACGACTTCAGTTGAAATCATCACAAAACATGTTTATCAATCTTTCGTCTTCTTTGTAATCGTTGGCTTATATCACATTTGAATGAAAAATACTTCTGAATACCATAAGTTGACTGTAAATGCCACTTCTGTAACTACTAGAAACACTGAACAAAACGTTTCTTGCACGAGAAACTGATTCAAAGGTTGGTGTCAAAGTATGTCCTACTAAAGGATTTTGAAAGTCCTTTCTTAATAACTTCTGCAGCAATGGCACCTTTAATTCCAAAATTCTCCCAAAGAATCTTTCTCGGCACTAAATATCTTCTATTTACGCTTATCCCATCAGAATGGCAAAATGTATTTTCTAGTTTATAGTAGGATATAACCATATTGGTTTTTAAAGAAGAATATTGTATCCAGATATTCTCAATCACAGGTAACAACTGACGGTGAAAAAACAAGTTCGCAAATTGTGTGCAGCGATTTAGTATTTTCAGTGAACATTGAAAATAATGTTGGATAAAAAACGTATGAACAATATCAATCCGAAATCTGTAAATATCTCATTCAAGTTATTATTTAAAGACGAAACTGTATCATCTAGTCAAGTGAAATCAATAGATGATTCTCTTTTCTTTTCTAAATCACAATTCCTGTTGATAATGAACACAAATACCTTAACATGGCCACCTCAATAAAACAACACTCAAGGTCATGACAACACACATTATACTCAGAAGACCGCAGAAATAACTAACTAGTTGGTTAGAATAACCAAAACAGAAAACCTCATTGGAAATCAACATGAATCAAGCAAGTATGCCTCTCTCTGTTTTAAAAATAAAATATAACACAACTAATAAAAAATTCCTTCTTAATTACACACTCGTTGTATCAATGATAAATTCAGACAAATAGTGAATAACAATAATATAAAATAAAATGACTATATGAAACAAAAGAAATGAAATATTGAGGAGTATTGGATACCAAAAGCAATAGAGAAAACGAAATATTCCAAATCATAGTCAACAGCAATATGTGATCATATATAAAATTCTAGATCTTTTTCATACTCATAAGAAGTTCTATCTTACTAGTCTTCTCACTTTTGTCTTGTTACCTTTCATTGAAGAAGTTCAAGTTATATAGCTGACATTCATCTACAAATGAAGGTTGTCTAAGTTTTCGACATCAGAATCAGTTAAACATTCTATACCAATACTTCGTCAACTCTTTGATAATGATCCACATCAACTGTTTCCAATTGCTTCCTCTCTTCAAGGATATAAATGTTTCACCAACAAAAGTTATCATTTATAGCAACTAAGAAATAATCATGTAATGCTGATATACCAAGGCAAGGTAATAAGACAAATATATATTTATTCCATATTGTATCCCTATTCCTACAGACAGTTTCCTTCTTCATTTGAGATAGTGACTTGAGGTATCAGTAAAGAATACACTGTGTATTTATGCTCAAATCTTGAGCTACCAAAATATTCTCCACCGACTAGATTTCATCAACTTCTTCCCTTTGTATTCATTTTATTCTTTTTTTAAATACATGACATCTAAGCGTATATTATACTCTTGCATATTTTAAATAAAAGTTACCAAGCTGTCATTTATTAAAGCTAACAGCAAAAAATAGAGAAAACGTATTACACCGAATGGTAATAAACTTAGAAATGCACAGAAATACACCATAATACTATTCCAAGGAACTGCAAATTCTTCTACGGGATATATGACCTACTACCATCAAAATTACTCTCAATTTTCCAAACCACATGCTAATGTAACACCAGCTGCCTCTTTCATACTATCCACTTTAACACTCTTGTTATTCCCATGCAATAAATATATCGTTTTAAAATATTGTACACAAAGTCAAGTTATTGAAATAATATCATATGCTGCATCACAAATGTTGTTTACAATAAGGCATTCATTACTATTATTATTAATATTACTATTATATCTGCTTCAATCTTCTTCAACTCCATTTCATCATCCCATCATCAACAATATTCATCTGATCGTGTCAACTAACCAAGTAATGATGCATGAATATGCAGATAACAAAGTTATGACAATAAACTTTCAGACGTGCTCACTTTATTACAAATGTATAATAATCACAGTTTTGTAGGGCATCATTTATAACAGGGCAAACAGCTATTGATACAAGACGTCTGATGAATGAGGTAGACAACATTCAATACAACGTCCATATATATAATAATAACAACTGTTACTTGCATAGAGATTGGAACAAGATTAAAAAAGAACAGATATGGTAAAATACAATGATTTCCATAGACTAATATAAAACTTGTGAGTTTTATCAAAAACTAAACAAAACAGGGTGATAATGGAAAAAGTAAACAAGGGAATAAAATTGCAAGACTCAAGAGACTAAACTCCATCTTTCTTGCCCTGTTGGTCAGTCCAGACATCTTTTGAAAAGAACAATAGAAGAGAAAGCATATTACACCTTTGTATAATTCCTGTTTTATTGTTTACATGTCCCACACTTATCCAAGGAATATGTACATACATGGTAGAAACAAGTGGAATGACAACGGCGCGATGGCAACAATAACAACAACAACAATAAACGACATGGAATTGATTAAAGGACAGTTGGCAGTTTCTTTCCTTCCGATTTCTTTTCTTACCAGTATCAATCACATTCAACTGGATGGGACAATTCGAAGAAGTTTTTGTAAACCCACTGTAAAGCTCTCTGAAATGAAGGAAAAAAAGGTTGGAAAGAGAGGAATACTCTAGTCACCTTCTTGTAATTTACTGAAATCAGCATCATCAAGTCATAAAGTGTCTTCTATGTTCTCTCTCACAAATACACCAAGTTTCTCACTCATGGAAATTTGAACTTCACTACTGAATAAAATTCATTCCTCAATCTAGGTAAAGCATCCATGAAGCGTTCAAAACTGTACAAGGGAACTCAATAACGCTCAGTGATAGGCGATGCACTGATATGAGGTGTGGCAACTCGGACCGTTACGCAGTAACGCCTAGTCCTAGGTTGATTTGGATGCATGCATGGATGGAACGATGGAAATACAATAGCAGACCATTATATTATGTATGGTCAACGACACACCATACGCCGTGGAAATCTGGAGAGAAGTGTAAAACTATCTACTCCCTGCGACATATAGTGGCATTCACCTTGGCATTTCCCAAGTATATTAAATAACTGCTGAAAAAACCAAAATTAAAACCAAGAAACACTCTTCAACAGTAAGGCTTAAACCTAGAGAAGGGTTTATTTTTAACCCTATTAACGAAAGCTGTTCCGTTTCGTACTGTGTGCGCTGCAGAAGACTAACATACAGGAAAATAGAGTTATTCACTGTTGTCATGCCCCAATTTTCGATAAAAAATTGTTATCGATCTGAACATTTTTAACGTGTCATTTCCACACCATTTTAACGGTATGACTAGTAGTCTACTTCTGTCCCCATTGTAATGTAAATCGCTAATTGGTTAATCTTTACTCTTACTATGCGAATTTCTCCAATTGCGGACAAGGTCATTTTTCATATGTGTACTTATTCACGTGTTTTGGGATTGATTTTATTATCATATTCTCCGAGTAGCAAACTCTCTCATCCGCCAGCTTCGGTCCTCTCACTATTCGTCCCGGGGTTCCAGTCAGTGGCTACTGCATACTAAGTTAGCTGTCAGCTAAGCGTGCGTATCCTATTATTCGGAATATACAGAACTGTAGTGTTTCGAAAACATAACAGTAGCAACAGGGATGGGATCAAAAATGGACTTTTCGAAACTGGACAAATTTCTGGAACTACAAATGAAGATTATCGAATTATTAACTTAGTCCAGAATTCCTGCAGCTGACTCATCGAATCCTACGCAAGAACCAAATCTAACGTTGAGTGATATCACTGCTGAATGTCAACGATTGGTGAACCTACGACGCGATACAAGCTTAGTCCAACCAGGACGCCAGGGTGATCATGAAGTGCATGCGGTTTGCCTGAAATCAAATTCCTCTGCATCCTTATCTCGCCAAAAGACCCCTGGTTCTTCGTCTCCTGTTCGTCATCTCGGCAGCTCATACAATACTAGAAGAAACATGAAGAAGACCCTACCGTCCTCATAAGCAGAATAAAGGCAGAGATTGTAATACTGTGGGTCACAATGATGGATTTTGCAAGCAGTCCCCATCACACAGAACAGACAGGTCACAATCCAGTCACCGTCAAAGATCGAAGTTGAATTTGGTTGTAAGAAGACTCAGGGTGGCTAGATCAAAACGTGCCACCGGTCCATGAAGTCCCTGACTGTTGGTCTATGTCGTATGTGGCGTTGTAGACTGTTTGGTTGGTGTTCACGAGACGGTATGAATCAGTGGTTAAGGACTCTTAGTGAAATGGCTGAGAATCAGTCAATGACGCTTATGTACTCACTCCTTAACATCTCCCAACCATTCAATATTTGTGGTAACCATTATCTTTCGATTGATTGTTCTCTCACACTACTTTGTCTACTTTGAGATCACTCTGCTACTATCCACCTGCTCTTCGTGTACTACTGTGAAGTGAGGCATCTTCAACTGATACATCTGCTGTATGCCAGACTCTACGTGGTCTGTCTGTCTTTCTATCTCTGAAAATCAGTGAATACGATTTTGTGAGAGTAAAAATACAAGTTACATTTCAAAATAAAAAGTAAATAGTATTGAAAAAAGTAGATCAAAAACGGTGAGATATTTTACAGAAGTAAAAATGTTTAAATCAGCATACTCACCCATCGTTTGTTTAAACGATTTCGGTTTATTTGTCCATGCGCAGCCAATTATGTAAACTGGTATACCAGTTAAAATGATTAGAACACCATACACTAAAGTGAAAAAAACAAACACAAAATGAAAGTCCACAAGATTATTTATTCAACAAGAAATAAATAAAAATGTTAAACTTGTCAATTATACTAGACAATGTAGAAGAAAATGGAAAGTGTGATTTCGACGAAAAACAGGAAAACCAACATCCAACCATGCATCCAAGTGCATCAGTCTCACATCTCATACTTCACACATTTGAAATCTGAAAAAGAATTTCTAGAAGTGTGGCATTCAACAGACATGTAGATATAACCTCAACATATAACCCACATAGGAAGTAAACAGTAGTCCACTAATCAACGCCAAATGGATCGGAAAAACTAAAAATATTCATACACACTCTGACAACAATAAACGGCACAATTTCAATCCAACAAAGAATAGCCGATAACGTGACTGGAGGCCATCAGGGTGTGATAAAAAATTTCTTCCTCAACTTACAAGTGGATAGTATCCAAAGTCAATAAAAAAAAAACACTATCTAAACATCCGTGTAATATTCGAATATCATTCACTTCTTTATGAAGTTAGTACTGAAGACGTCAAGAAGCCTAATGATAAAACGTTCACGACAAACTATCAAAGATCAGAGAACATCAAACTACAAAATGCCAAGACTGTAAGTCTAAGGAAAAGATGAAATTGAATGGAAATATGGAAAAAATTGACAATAGAATGATATAAACATGTCAACAGTATGAAAATATAGCCTACACTCAGATGCATCAAACCTTACACACTTATGAACATCTACCAGGTTGGCTTGCAAAAGTAGACACAAAATCGAATAAAAGTGTCATTCTGCCTCTCTATTAGTGGATAGTGAATATCAAATTTAGAAAAAAAAAGTACCACACCTTCTCCATAATATAATGAATACCACAAAGTCTGTCAACAAACACATGTAAGCCTCTCTTGTTCACAGATAAAAACATCAGAATTGATGAGACAAAGCTGGATTTCTATGTCCAAAACAAGTACATTCACCATCTCTCTCTCTCTGTCTGTCTGTCTTGATCTTGTGTAGCACCGACACACATTCAATCATCATACAGACAGACTGTTGACCGTTGGCCCTCTCCTTCCTCAGCACCTAAGGATTCTACGAGTACCGAATCGATCATATCACTTAGTGACAGTCGGATAATTCACTAACAAAAATAATCGCAAATTTCACCTCATAACATCTCTATTCATATTCTTACGTCATCCTTTGCTGTCGATATATATCTACACTTGTTGCAGTTCATCACTCTTCATGTCCATTGTTATACAATTAGTGAAATAATAATCTGTTGTAATTTATTTTACACTCTCATAAATCTTATCCCATTATCATATATTTATCATTTGCATAAATTCCTAAATGAAATCCATCTATGCTTCTCTGCTAAAACTGTTGTCTTTGTTATATTTCAAGACATTCCTTGACAATCTTGATTAGGTGATAAATACATTCAACAGATCTATTTCTTTATATTTGTACTCATTTCTTCCATTCCAAGGTCAAGATTATTTATGCTTGAGGTACTAGACAGTCGATTGTTATGATAGGTAGCGGCAAAAACCGTCTTCCTGGCCGCCACTAGGAAAACAATGGTCCCATGTCCACGTTGATCTTGCTGCACTGTTTAACCGTATGCACTTCTTAGTATGTGTTGACACAGATTCTAAATGGCCAGAGATTTTTCCAATGCAGTCTATCACGTTACAGGCAACAGTGAACCAGCTACGTCATCTATTCTGTCGTTTTCGTATTCCTGATGTTCTCGTGTCCGATAATGGGTCACAGTTTACATCGTCAATATCCTCAGATTTCTGTAATCAGTTTGGCATCCAACAGATTCATACCCTTCCATATCACACCCAGTCCAATGCTCAAGCTGAACAGTTCGTTTATACTTTCAAAAGAGCTTTTATGAAGGTGAAGGGGGAGGCGACGATCAACGAAATCTTGGATAACGTTCCCCTACTTTATCGTACAACACAGAATCCGTCTGCACCAAATCACTTATCTCCAGCAAAATTATGTTTGGCAGAAAAGTCAAAATCCTTCTCGATCCAATCAAGCCTAAACGAATAAACAAGGGCTGCAGAAACACTAAAATGGAAAGTCAGCTGAATCGTCACCACAAAGCTAAATGTCGAATCTTCACTTTGCATCAGCATGTCTACGTGCATGACCTTCGTTACTCACCTCCAAAATTCACTCGTGGACAGACAGTTCGGCGTAAACGAAATGTTCGATACAAAGTGAATGTAGAAGGACAGATATCAACCAGACACACGAACCACACACTAAGTGAGGTCAACACAGGAGATAAAAGGAAGCAAAACTTCACACCAGAAGTTCTAATGGATACTTTAAATCTTCCGCAGCCAGAAGCACCAGATAGGACCCAATTCATCCACACTCCAAGATCAGTTCGATAAACAAGATGACTAGAAAGATTCCAAATACATCCTAGAAAGAAGCCATACAATTTTACAGACGGATGCTAGGTGGTGGCAACAAGCTAAACAATAGAGAAATTGTTTTCGGATCATGATTTATGCATGTACTGACATAATAACCTGACTAGACAAATTCGACGTCATACAACAAATCCAATTGGTTTATTTGTGGTTTCATTTTATGAGGGTTTTGTATATATATATATATATATAATTATATATATATATATATATATATATATATATATATATATATACCATATATTTGTCTAATAAAGTTGTTGTTCTTGCAGTCACAGGCCAGTCTTTTGTATTCTCATATCTCCGTGGCTCAGTAAAACAGAACCAACTGAGGGAGGCCAGTCGTAACAGCATCCGGTTGAGGTGGCAATTGACTCTCAGTATTGTTATAGCCACGCACGTATTTCTATTCGGTCACAACACTAGTATGGTTGAAAATTATGACCATCAGACTACTAGATCGATGCTATACAAACTGAACTACCAGACCCAGTCCATGAGGATTTGGTCGGCTTCTACGACCTATGTTTTCGTTCCGACAACAATCCTCATCCCAACCGATAGCTATTACCTTGACATGGTGGTCGGGCTTACATTTCATAATAACCCAACGAGCTATGCTAACGGAACGCCTGTTCCCTTCAGGCTCTGCCATGCCACAAAAAGACTGGTATTGATCAGACGAAAAGCAGTTACCGCTGTAGTGCAAATTACTACACTATGATGGTTTCAGGGAAAAGTCGTACTGCTACTAGCTGGATGGAGTTTGACAGCAGTAAGGTGTTTCATTTGGATGAACATCGGTGTCACGCTGATGCTGCCTCCCTCCCCCCCCCCCACCAACCAGAACAACGAGTTAGAAAACGTCGGCCCACAAAATAACACAATTCATCATCCCCAACGGTCTCCCAGTGCTAGCGGTATGGGTTCTCTCTAGCCGGCATCAGAATGACCAAACCTCAAAGCAACATCCTGAAAAACTATGTGTCACATATCTCAAGCATATCTCCCACAGCCACTGCGGTCACACAAATGTTTCTCTCTATCACGTACCTTAAGAAGAAACATCCTTCCACGGTGTGGGCAGCAGGGAAGTAACAACCACACGCACGCTTACAATAGTACACAAAATTCAATCAAACATTACCTATCCTCCCAACTATGTCTCCTTACTTGCCTTCACCTAATCATAATAACATTGAGATTCTTACAGATTACTCAACCTTTCACTCTGCAATCATCCCAACGTCAAGACCATAGAAACCTCATTTCTAGTCCCTAAGACCAACCATCATTTCCATGTAGAAGCTTCCAACGTACGAACTCTATGCCAAACCTGACAGCCAGCATCACTCACCAAAACTCTGGAATCTCTAGCCATACAGATGTGCTGTCTCTGAGGCACTTATACAGGACCCGAGTGTGGTCATTAAGTTGACTTCACCAGACCATAATAGTCAATCTTCAACTTAGAAGCATCCGGAGACCAAGTGGCTAGCTCTCGTCGACTCCCTGGTAGAGGCATAGCATTGAGTTGTAGAGCAAAAAATTCACCTCTCAACTTGATACCAGTCAACAACCGTCTGTGTCCCTTCCAACTGAATCGATCTGTAGGGATTAGGAAGGATTGTGAGACTATGCGACACCTATTCGTGGTATCTGCCTATGCACCCACCAACTGTGACTCGAATGATGTTAGGGATGAATTATAAGAGAAACTGTCAATTTTGCTGAAGAAAGTAGAAAGTTCAGATGTAATCATAATGGCAGATTACTTCAACGCTCAAATAGGGAAGCTGAGCAAATCAGAAAGGCATCCTGAGGGTATTTACGCAATACCATCCAAACAAACCGACAACCGTGGTCGTCTGCTGCAATTTTGCCCTGACAGTCACCTTTTCCTGGACAGTACTAACTTAAGGCAGGAGGATGTACACTGTCTCACAAGGCCTCCATCGACGTCAAACCAACAATGGACACAGACAGAACACATCATTATAAGCCATCGTTGGAAAGCATTGAGGGAGGATTGCCGTCCACTCTGAAGTATCAGTTTGAACTCAGATCACGAAGTCAAGTCTGAATTTAGGGAAGAGATAGCTAAGCATTCATCTGGACATGACAGCAATGGTTACTCTATGGGGAAACCTGGAGTGATGTAACGTTTTCTGCAGAAACAGGCATAAAGAAAATTGGTAACCCACGCCCAAAGTTTAGCAAACTCCAGTGGATGTTTGCAACATCATCCGAACTGGTTGATGCATGTCGACTGACTCCAGCTGGCTCACACCACGATGAACAGAGAAAGCAACTCAAAAGTAAGTTGACTAGGAGTATTCGGGTCGATGACAAACAATGGTAAGTGGTGAAGACGAAGTAAACAGAGAAGGCGTCAGCGATGGGTAACACTCGGCAACTATTTAGGCTTCCTAAGGATACAGGCAAGAATAAGACGATAGTGAGTAAAATCATCACCCAAAAGGATGACACTCTGATCAATCCTCAGGATAGGTGGCTCGAACATGGGGCAGAACACTTCGAACCACAGTTCAGCTGGCCCTCACAAACGCTTCACTCGCTCAGCACAGCCCATCCCATCCCGAAATGGGACGTAGATGTCGGTCCTTCAAATCTCCTTGAAGCCGAAAAGGCTGTATCAAAACCGAAATGATGCCAGGCAGCAGAACCTGACAGATTGGCACCTGAGGTTTTCATGGGTGGAGATACGAAATTGTTAATCAAAGTGACAGACGTTCTCGGACACGTACGTGATTCAGAGGTAGTAACACCACACTGGTCTACTTATCTCATCATCTCAGTCTCTAAGGATGGCAAAAATCTTCTCCTGACAACCATAGGGGAATTACTCTGACTATTGTCAACATAATATTGTGTCCAACATACTAGCCCCCACAGTTATTCCACGCCTGACTGAAGCTCAAGAACAGCAAACTCGAGAAAACCAGGCAGCTTTCGGAAACAGCTGGACAAGGATGCATCGAACATATTTTCATCCTTCAACAGGTTCTGGAACACAGACATACCTACCAGCTAGTGGTCAACACCTGTCATATTTCTTCACCTGGAGGCGGTATTTGAAACAGTCGATCGTGAGGCGTTGTGACGGTATCTGACTGAAAGAAAATAGCCTCAGGCACGTTTGACTTCACGGGATCGATCTACTCCCTGGAGGCTATCTGGATGACTTGGAGTATACAGACGATATTGCCCTACTGGGTAAAGACGCTGATGCAATGATGGGGCTCTCAAACAACTTGAGAAGAAATCTAATTATGTTTGGCATGCGTCGCGGTGGCACTTGTCAAGTGTAAAGTGATGCTCAAGGACTTGTCTGCTGCAACCATTCCCAGTTTAATGATTAGGCATACATTGGTGGAATATGTCGACTACTTTACTTGAGTGGGGGTTGGCATCAACCCGAACAGACAAAATTCCAGCTCGAACACAGAAGGCCCGTCTGGCATTTTCCAGCTTGCATCACTCATGGTACTGACTGAAGTGATACTCGACAATCTATCAAAGGATAAGTAACCTGCACTGTAGTTCGTTCTGCCTTTTAGTATGGGTGTGAAAAATGGTGGTTAAAAGTAGAAAACCTAAAGTGGTTACAGGTGACTGATCATACATGTCTTCAAAGCATTGCTCACGTTTGGTCGAATCATCACCATAGAAGCATTGTTGAGGTCAGGAGAAAGGTACCAGGCAAGATAGACAACTCGATTCATGAGGTTGTGAATCTTATTCGATTGACATAGCTTGGACATGTAATGTATATGCCAAACCACCGCCTATCTCAACGTCCCACGCTACAGGAAGTTGGATTTGGTTGCAAGAGGGTTCAGGTTGGTCAGAACGAGACCTGACACCAGTCCATGAAGTCCCAGAATGTCGTCGAATGGGGTCACCGAGACTAAAGGATTCAGTGGCTGAGGACTCTTGCTGACATGCCTCTCATAAATATCATCCACTTTCAATTCAGGGGTTTGTGGGGATTTATTTATTGATTTCAGGTTGGTATTCATCAAGGACTGACATCAGTTGGATGGACACTGGAAACCTGGGAGAACTAGACAACTGTTTCGTCTCCTATGAAACTGCTCAGCAGCGCCCACTCACAGCCATACAATCAATCCGATCCACAACCTGCAGGTTCCACAACCAGCACGTTGACATTGAACCACAGAGTCAGACTTCAATGGTTCACACTTACAACTTCTGTCAATTTAGGATATAGCACCACCACCACCACCACCACCACCGTCCAATGTTGTCGTTGAGTAACTACCACCACATCCGGCTCCATTTGCCCCACAGGTCACAACTTGTCAACAGAACTTCGGAAATTCTCATCTCAAGGTAAGTCAACATCAAACACTAAACAGATATTGAATTTGGAGGTTTGTCATCATTCTCCCGATTGGTATTCATTACAACCATTATCAACATTCTTCAATGGATAGTTTCATTGATATTCATAAAGTATGCCATTTTCCATCAGGTAAATGAAATTCCATCCACCTGCATAATAGTATCTAAATGTTTTTTTATTATTTTGCATCAGTATAATAAGGAATTTTATGCACAAAAACTTCAGTGAATAACTTACATGACTCTTTAGGTGATCCAACAAAAGCGAAAACAATCAGAAATAGGGTTACCAGAACATAGATATATGCAATACAATAGGAACCTATAGTGCAAAAGGCAAACAAAAAACAGTTTTCTTTTCAATGAAATGGATTATTAAAAGTTATATAATTTGGATACTTAAAATACAGACTATTCGATAGAAAGAAAATGAGAGTGTCATCAGCACAAATCATCAGCAGATCTCAGCTGTCAGCTTATACGCATGTGAGAATCCTTGTGTAAACCCTGCATGTAAAGCACATATATTCCCTCCATTCATGTATCTCGGTGCTGTCACACACATACATCCCAATTAAATAGAATCAATTCTATTTATTCAACCAGATATTCACTAATCAAATCAAGTGCAACATCTTTCATTGAAACTTCGGTTAAAATACCGGCTAACCAAGATAATATTTATCAACCATGTTTCTCAATGAATTACAGTTAATAGTCTTGAGTTTATTCTCTTTAAACACTGCACAACCATTTTTCGATTCCTAAAAATGATGCTCCTCAAAAAGAACAAAACCTCAATTCTAAACAATTTATCCACCATTTTGAAGACTGTTTCTCCACAGCTACTCAGTATTAGTCCACGACTACAGATGCTAGTCAGTGATTTTGCCAACCACAATCCCTCTACTGAAAACAAACCTTACTTGGATGAAGATAATCGGCAGAAACTTCTGGACACAGGTTTCATCCTTCTCAGCACTTATCAGTGTGGTATATCTCCAACTTCTACGAAACCAATGTCCCACCTGAGATTTGAACTCGCATCAGCCAGTACAGCAGTCACGGTCATTACTACTCAGTTATTCGGAGCACGATTCACCTCCCATACGACTCGATTAGGTACACTGGTTGGTCACTAGAATGCTTCCCGATGGTCAATCTTCTAGCCTGGTGGCAAAATCGCAAAATCATCAGTAATTTACAGCAGCGCTTAAGAGTCAACAAAATCAAGTTGGTTGCCTTCTACTGAACAATCAATGTAAACAAATCTCTTCCATGTGTTTCAATTGACTTGCTGATGGTCAGTAGTGGAATCCAGGAGGTGGGTTACCTCCTATTCAGGACTCTTCAGCCAGGTGGATGTGCGTCCCAGTGAGTAGTGTGCTCCCACTGAGACTCGTGCCATGCACACAAAAACACTATCCACTAAACCACCGAGGTGCGACAGCCACCTCTTAAGCAATGGATATCACTTATTATCACTGGTTGATGTAATTATATTTCTCCGTTGTCATACTGGATCGAATTGGTCGACCTCTGTTGGCATATGAGTTTAACAGAGGTCATTCAATTCCATCCAGTGTAACAACGGTGAATTATGAGTACAAACAAATAATAATAACTAATACCCGTTGCCATTGTGCCTTACGACTTAGTGGATTACACTTTGGCGTTTGAAGTTATCGCATGCAGGTTCATCCACCTGATGAGTCACAAATAGGACGAAACGCGTATCCTACATTTCACTGCTAGTCACAACCAAATCGAATATAACAACCAATCTCCAGGCAAGATTGAGGCAACCAAATAGAAGTTTGTAAAATAGTCTCTCAATAAATAAATCCTACTCATGAAAGTAAACATCCAAGTAGTTTGATATCCTTCATCTATCTTACTCAATCATTAAAACCATCTGTCCTCCTGTTTGGAATCACTTCCCTATGATAATTAAGAAGTATGCACAACTAGAAATTATGGTTTGATTACCAGAGTGACATGAACTAACGTCAGTTTACAAAATACTTTTCATCATCATCAGAAGTTATCCCGACATACATTAGAGTAAGGCAGTTTTAAAGAGTTTCTTCAGTCTCGTAACAGATTACTAGGTAATTTCTACTACTCAACTGTCTTTGTCTCCGTCACACACATGTGAACACACATACACACTTGGATGTGAACCTATCAGATATTGCAATTAGTACATCATCATAATTACCTGGATACTCAATATTTATCTCATGAGAATGTAAGTTCATTTGATATTCATGCCTTAGACAATTTAGATAAGTCTGAGTGAATGCACTTTGAGAAACAAACAGTGCAATATATATATATATATATATATATATATATATATATATATATATATATATCATTCATGTTTACCTACGGTTTGGTAATGTTATTACTTCAGATTACAACCAAATCAATAGATAAGTGCACTTTATCACAAACTTTAAACTTCATCACCAATCTCAGATATTTCACATTTCAAGTTGACCACTAACACCTTCCACTAACCCTTTGCCGTTATTCTTCTTCAATGAATATTCACTAATTGATCAAATATTATGAATGTCAAAGTACTTTGAACAAACAATGGACTGATTAACTCATCTCTCACATTCAAATTAATTTTACCTATATAATGACTATAAAGTGTTTGCTGTTGTCAGGTGTAGACGTAACCAACTCCACACATTCCTTGACATATGAATTACATTATCACCTTTGTGTAGTGGGGTAGTGAGTTAGTTAGTTATCTGTTGTCAATTAACGACTAGGGTGATATCAGGACAAAAAAGAACCGTTTCGTGTTCATCAAACTAATCTATCCCATTTCAGTTTGTTTATTAGATGTACCACACAATGAAACAGCATTATTTTACTAGATCACAATTCCCACTCAATTTATTATCCAGTCATATCAAGTTAATTCATGACTTCCAGACATCGTCTATATGCTTCAAATTCTCCCTCCACTTTGTGTAGAATCTTCAACATATATATCTGGAACAGGTGCAGAATCATTCCTATTGTATGCATTTCGAGTTGATTCAATAAACAAAGTTTCAGTTATCAATCTCTACCTCCATCCAACTAGGTTACATTTGAATACTGTTGCTCTATCCAACCCCATTGAGGGATTAAGTCCTGTCGTACGCATAACTATACTCAAACTATTCTTCAGATCCCTTATCTCCCTCCTTACGTCTTAATAATCTTCATTTAGCTAAGTTTCCTTGCTCCGTTATTCCAATTGACCCTGACTAGCTACTTTGAGCCACATATTTGACATCCCAATCATTGCAAAGGATTCAGCAAGCCAAATTATTTACCTAATTCGATTAGTATGTTCTTGCATCTTACTTTGTACCTAAACTAGTTTGTACGTCAAAATTCCATTCATCCCACCCAGCCTTATTGAGAGTTCATCATAACGCTTCCGTAGTCACTTCATTGTATGGCAACAAAGTAAACGTATTCAATTCTCTATCTACCATGTCATCGTTGTTACTAATAGCACACTTATTATTGACATCTGTACTACCACTACTACTACCACTTCCAAGTTCATGCACATCCAGCAGCAATGATTACCCACCTGTCCCAAATACACGGAAAACTACACTACCCACATCACAAGAAACCAAAGTTAACCAGAACTATATAAACCATGTCTCACAGTTGTGGAGTTACCTGATACGACTATGAACAATAAATTGTGTTCGAAACATTATCCAGTAAACGAAATGCTTTCACTGTATGAAATTTCGAATAAACGGACTAAAATGGAATAACAATTCACTACACTGCACACGTTTTACTCCTATATTAAAATAATTTCTCACAGTCAAAAATCATGTTATGTAGAGTATTTGAAAAACGTTCATGGGTATGATCAATAAACAGCAATAATGATGATAATAATAACAAAACCAGAAGTAACTTTTAACAACAAATTTAAACACTAACCTTGACAGGACGTGGAACTTTAGGACGTGTAAATCTAAATATTATCACTATTAAGACGCATAGACCAATAGCAAGCCATTGAACAAATCCCATGTAATTGATAAGAGCGAAAATATCTCCAGAAAGTAAGTAAATCAACGACATAACACACTACACAAATCAAAAAAAAGGTTGATATCACAGTTGGTCAATAGACAAACACACTCAGAGAATATAATTCTCACACGTTATTCTTATAAGAACTGACCTGACTACGACGAATACTTAAATCTCAGTGCTAATAATCAACAATTTTATCCCACAGAAATGTAGTAAACATGTAAGCAAACAATCATCTAGGATGGTGACAGTGGCGCTCATCTGCTGTTCACTCTAAATGGACAAATCCTCACAGCCAAATTGTTTAAACCATTGACTTCCTTTCAACAAATATAGAATACGTAGAAGTAGACAAATAGTTTGCAAAATTCATGCTTTCAGATCAGAAAAGGATTAACTAGTTTATATTCAACTGTACAGCTCCATGACGGTAAAATGTAGAGCGTTAACTCAAGCAAACACGAAACGCAAACCAAGTCGGATATGAAGACAATTACTGAACGATTCAATGGGATGGAGGTTGCAATAAACCACAAACTGATAGAAGTAGGAAATATAGACCATTGGATTCCGACCCAATGACTCAGTGGTAACCTGCTGGCTGCGGAAACTCAACGTTCTGGGTTCGATCCAAGGTTGGGTCATGGGTGCGCACTCTGAGCAGTCCAATACCAGGAATAACAGTTGCCCAGTTCTCTCAGTCTTCTGATATTTCTCCAACTGATATCAGTCCATCATCGATACTGACATGGAATCAATAAGTGTTGCTATCATGTATGCAAAAGTATCTACTGCAAGACTTCAGATAACTTCCACAGAACTCATTATTACGCAGGCGTCTGTCTTGTGGTCATTTGCTGCTTGAAAACAACCAAAAAACTGTACTACTCACAGCACACAAATATACAAAACAAGCCCAAAACTTCACATACAAGGAGGTTAGTCAAAACATTCAAGCTTGAGAAAACGTCAAATAGTGAATACACCTACGCCAATGTGACCGATTTCAGCCATGTTACCAAAAATCGTCAACCACTGATTCCCACGGTCTTCCGCACCCCAGTCCAGTAGCCTACACCCTTCCTACACAGTTCACATCGACAGTCAGAGACTTCATGAACCGTATCCAGTCATAAAGCAAACATACATTAACCAACTGAAACTGACGAGTAAGTTACATAAAATCCAAGAATGTGTAGATACCTCTCATTCGAAAACCCGACTCACGATGTACATCTGTCTACAGACTTAAGGTTTCCTAACGGATTACGTTTTTGACAAGATTACAATGAAGATCACTTTCTGGCCTACTGACTGACTCCTCCTAACCCATTCATCCCTCCATTTCATTTACAAACCTCTTCTTGACCAGCAAACACGAGTCAATGACAATCATGTTGAATAATGCAAAACCGAACACAGAAAGTTAGAAATCACAATGAAAAAAAATCATCGGACTTCAAAGTCAACAATTTTACGTGTCATAGAGGCTTGCATCAAAATCTATCCGGTACTTCCAGTTATCACATATATAACCAAACACGATAATTGATATAATAGTATTAAACACTCACTGTGAATAAAACAGCAGGAATCGGTGTTAACCAGTCAGTATGCAGGTAACTGATGAATGCTGGCATTTGATTAACTTGACTAGCGACAAAAAATATTCTCGATGTCGTCAGTACAGTGCCATTAGCTCCACCGAATGTTGAACAAGCAACAAATATCGGCATTATCCACCACATCACTCCATACATTCTAACTGCGAATGTCTAGAAAACAAATGGAACAGTCAGCACAACTCTATAATCCAACTCTCTAAACTTATTTATGACAATAATTAAAGTGAATTCGATCGTCTCAGCCTGTGAAGATAAGATACGTACTCATGATGAAAAGATTTTTCATTCAGATATATGGTTGGAATATTTACAACTAATAGTACTAAAGCAGCTCGGTATGTTACCGAAGGTTATGCATTCCCCGCTACACAGCACAGAGTTATCACCTGATCCGATCAAAGTCAGCACTGATCCTTCACATTGTCACTTTTACACTTCTTCTTCAACTTAAACATTCGTCGATGAAACTAAATTCACACAACACTACTAACGAGATAGCATTTATCCTGAAGAACTATTATTCAAACTCAACTACACTGAGAAAACTGTCTAACTGAACAGCTTCAATAAAAGTCTGAAAATGTTTGACACACGTTGTTCATCCATCGAATGTGAATTCATGCTGTCGTCGTAAGGTAATGCTCCACACGGACACCTCATTCGAAAATAATAAGTCAATTATTTGAGCATATTGATCATCTAAACAGAGTCAGCAGGATAAACACACTTATACTCATTGTTTTATCAATCCTCAAAGTAGATGTGCAGTTGTTACAAAACATCTAGGTGCTAATCAAATGGTCAGCATGACCAATAGTACAGTAGTACACTGAGCTTAACAATCCAACATTAGGATGTAGGTGATGAAGATCGATACCCGTTTCTCTCATATACAGATTATGTTTACCTTAACGCTCATATTATCCTGCCGTTAATTGGACCAAATTGATCGGTCTCTGTTGCCATACGATTCCTGTACGGATACCTCGATATTTCCTGTCATTTCAGTTTCACAGTAATGATACATAGCACCTAGTAGTCGCATCCGGGATGCCCATTCCTTCCTGTTTGGGACTCTTCAGGTAAATTCGAGGCATCCATTCAGAAGCGCATTTCCCAACAGAGAACAATCAACTCAGTTCAATCACTGACACGATAAAACAAGCAACATAAAACGACTCTCATCTCACAAAACGTGGCCCTCGTGACTCAATGGCCTACTTCATAGCACTTTGGCGTTTCAAGTAATCCATCTCCAGTCCCAGTCTTGGCGGGAAAAACATCGCCCACTGAGAGGCACGTACATCTAGATGACTAGGCCCAAATAGAACAAAACAAGCGTCCTGGAACCAACAGTTAGCCAACATCCATCATTACCGTAAATCTCTCTCCATCTGTCCAATCAGCAAACCCATTTTATTATTCTCTCCATGCTACACAAACTGTTACAAATAGTAACACCTTCTCATTAATAAAATAATCGTCAGTAGTCTTAAATACTCTAACCACAATACTTACCACAGCCACTGCTCTTGTGCTGAGAATTTCTGCCACTGGCACAACAGTTGCATAGGCAACATTAGCAAATGTATAAACTGCTGTTACCAGCACACAAGATACAACAATTGCAATAGGCAAATGTTTCTTCGGGTTCTTCATCTCATCAATCATACAATTCAAATAATTCCACCCTGAATAAGCAAACAAACCACTGTAAAATGCATTGGCTATTAATCCAGGACTCCAGTCAGAATCTTCAAATGGTTCTTTTAATCCATCATACCGACCTGAACAGATTATCAAGGGAAAATGTTTAGTTAGTGCAACTGAGATAGAAATTGGTGTTTTATGAAGAAACTGTGGTTCAAATTTCCTGTATATTACTCAAAATACCACCAGGCTGCTTAAATTAATATCAGCGAAATTGACTACAATATATGACTGAGTGGTTACAAGGCACATACCAATATCACCAAACCACACTCTCCTATTAACCGAAAACTAACCAACTAGCTAACTCATTACTTGTCATTAATAACTGTACACACACGCACACACACACACACACACAAAATCAACGTAGGACCTCGCACACAACTGCATCGGTTCGACTTACCACACTTCACAAAAGTACACCAAGAAAAAGTGAATACGAACAGACTAACATCAAAGTAGACAAAAGTGTGTAGAGCCAGAAAAAAAATTTCAAATAAGTCTTAGTCAAGGCATTCAAGCTTCAGCAGAAACCAAAGACTGAATGCACCTAAGCCACTGTCACCGATTTTCAGCCATGTCACCAACAGTCTTCAACCAATGATTCCTACGGTATCGAGGACACCAGCCACATAGTATACATCTCCCTACACAGCTCAGATCAATAGTCAGGGACTTTATCAACTAGTTCCAGGTCTTCGTCCGGTCACTCTGAACCCTCTCCCAACCTGACTCAACTTCCTCTAGCATCACATGCAGAGGTAGACAGTGGTTCAGCATGCGCAGCGCACGTCCTACCCACCTCAGTAAACTGTAATTCCTCCTTCTTCCTTGCAGGTTACCCAAATGACCAAATTCTGAGTCGTTCAACTGCAATTGTTCCCGGGTGCACTAAATTACGATGTTGCTTGTCCAGTGATTATCATCGAATTCATTGTCGCTACTCCGAAATACCATTGAATAAATACCCTGAGAATATGATCTATGGCAATATCAAGATATTACTGCATCTCGAATACATACCGATGAGTCAAAAATACAAGCAAATCGGTGACAATCATCACCTATCGATTACACTTAAGCGTAAAACAAAAAATATAATACCCAGAATGTTTTCTGTCAGTGTAGGATTAACAAGCTACAGTTATCGATAGACACGTTTCCATCATAACTAAAGTTTATAATTTCATATTATTTATCATTTAATAGCTATTTCAATTAGAAACCTTCGATACATAAAAAGGTCCTAACAATAAGTAATACGAGCAACATTTAACTTCTTTAGCTGAACTACTGAAATTCCATGACCTGACCATATCTATGTCCTCTACCGATGGCTTGCAAACGCATTCATCAGCTGTAACATCAGTACACCAGGAGTTTTAAATCAAAAACTGTATTTCTAAGGCTATTATAACTATCTTCATCTGAATTACCTAAATGCTCTCTGCTCGATTATCCCTAAACACAATCATATTCAACATCTTCAGTCCATTAACTTCTCAAAATCTTAAGGTCTGCAACATATCACATAGACTAATTTGTCTTAAAACAATGGACACGGAGATTATCTACCGTCATCCACATAACAAAATGGAACAGTCAGCGTAAAGCCCTTGAATATTCACAACCTCTTCTTCAGTTAAACACTTTTGATAATGAAAGGAATTACTATTCACCATGTTTTACATATTACAAGTTGACTGGGAAAAAAATTTATCTCACACAGTTTAAAATTCAAGTCAACACATTCCACTCATAAATTTGTCCAATTTCTATCTAAATGACGTTAATAGGTTGACTAAATCTCTCGCCTATAATGTTAACATCCAGATGTTAGTGACATTTTCTTATTCAAATAAAAACATGCAGAACTGATTCATTTTCTTCACTTGTACAACTAGAAAATCTCCAAATGGTATCAGTTACTATAGTATCGAGGTTCACATTACCACACTTCAAAGCAACAACATCATTAAACAACCCAAAGTGATCGATGAAACAGTACAGAAATTAACAAGTAAAATTAACCTATTCATAGAAAGCAAATACACCATCTTCACGACAAGATAATTAGCTGATGTGTCGAAGTGAACACAAGTGTGAATCACACCATCAGCAATTTACAAATATTCACCGCTGTCATCTAATCAACCTTCAACTAAAAGAAATTACACTGCCTTCTTTCTATGCCGCATACTATTCCTTTTCCGTCTTTCGATTCTCTTCTTTCGCTAATTCTACTCACTACACATTATTCGTTTACCACTTATCCTAGTTAATTTTATCACCTAAGACCATATGAAATGCGAAGATTAGAGAAAGACGAGAACATTTTCACTGAGATTTCAATCACCTCACCCATGTTCAACACGGTTTCTGAGTATATCTTCAGTACACATACTTATCTCTTAAAACTAATGCTCTTCTCTATTCAACAACATTGTTATCAATAAGTCTTTTCATGTCTATAACCTTATATGTAAAGGTTTATTTGATTCACACATATAACTTGTCATGATAACACGTTGTGATTTCCGTAATAATATGAAACACAATAGGAAGATTACGAAACTTTTATATCTCAAAAGTATTCATTTATTTATAGGATACGTAATGAACACATAAATAGTATATTGAACAAAAAACACTCCTTCAAGTATACTGAGAAAAGCTGTAGAAAGAAATGTCTGATAACTGGTAGGGTGTTGACCTAAGATTGGAATGTGTTCTGCGTACAACCATAACCTTGTCATAATCCCACTACTTTTATGAATAATTATGGTAATAAACAACCTCTCCTGGTTAACTAGTTCACTAGTTACTAGCCGGTCCTAAGCCCGGTTAACAGGGAAGGTTAGGCGTAGGGCTACCAACCCTACCCAGTAAAACCAATCCAACCGCTAAACAAACTTCAAAGCACAAACAAAATATACAAAATAAAAGCAAACTTATTCCTCGCTGGAATCGGAGAGACAAAAGGACGCCGATTGGTGAAAGCTTTCTGGAAGCCAATTACCCGATGTGTCTTCTCTCCCTCGATGAAAGCAAAAGTAAACGTGGGGATACGGAAAGTCCGCACCATTTTTCAACCTAGCAAGACTGCCCAGATTGCAAACAAGATGAGAAGGCATCGCACTGAAGTGTTAGGAATTTGCGAAAGCAAGTGAAATGGAAGTGGACTCTCCAAACTGTCAAGTACAGAGTCAATAATCTACTACGATACTGTCACCCAGACGACAACCATGAGCACACCCAGTTTTGGAGTGGCTATCATGATGTCTCCCTCCCAAGAGCATCGAAGGCTCTCATACAGTGGGAACCAATCTCCTCCAGAATCATAACAGCAAGGTTCAACTCAAAAGGAAGGAAAGTCACAATCATTCAATGCTACACACCTACAGATATTCATCAACAACTACCCACGCTGGCTCATTACTGAAGATCAGATGGCCAGAATAATGAGAATAAGCAACAAGGAACTCTGGCCAGGCAACGAACCAACCAAGAACCTATCACTCAACAAATATACAGAAGGAAGTGGAGATGGACTGGGCATACACTGAGAAGGCCGAATGGGGAAATAACGCGCCAGGCCAGGCACTCGAGTGGAACACAGATGGGAAACGAAGAGTTGGGCGTCCGAGGTGAGGGTGATATGGAGGAGATCGTGAGAGGAAGAAATGAGAGCTTGTGAACTGTCGTGGAGCCAAGTTCAAAAGATTTCAGAGAACAGAATGCACTGAATACGTGCTACTGAAGCCCTAGATTCCACTAGGAACCCAAGGGACAAATAATAACAAAGTGATAATAAACAGAGACAGTGATTGGAATACTAGCTCATGCATACCATATTCATATTCCATCTCTTTCACAGTCTTTCATAACAGAGTACAACAATATTACACTGCTGTCGCTCGTTTTAGTATCACAATAATCGAAGAAATCATTGTATAGGATAAACAATATACAGACAAAAACAAACTATCACTTCAGCACCTGAGATAGACAGACAGACAGATAGAAAATCATAGTTGAACCTAGCACACAAATACATCGGTTCAACTTGCCACACTTCACAGTAGTATAACAAAGAACAGGTGAATAGAAAAAGAGTGATGTCAAAGTAGAAAAAGTTTGTCCAAGAATAAACGATTTGAAGATAACAGTTAGTGCAAATATTAATGTGTAAGAAGACGTCAGTGGGTGAATATATCTGCACTACTGTGATCGATTTCCACCCATATCACCAACATTTCTCACTCAGTGATTCCTATCCCATCTTTGTTCTTAAGAAAAATGACATCTCAGTTACCTTTTAGTGCTAATCTACTAACTTACTCATAATAAAACACCATAAAATGAACTTAATGTGATAAATAGTGAAATGTTCCTGACCAGTTTATGAGATAATACCTGATGTTTTGCTTTTCTAGTTAGCTCAACATCTTCTACGTGGTTGCCCATCTATTTATCTGTCATGCTTTCCAGTTCTGAGTGATTGTTAAAATAAGTAAGAGATCGCGCTAAACAATACTTAAAAAAATGGTTAATTATCAATGAGATTATCTGACCCTGGGATGTCGTTGGTCAGTTGGTAAAGCATTAGACCAGTAACCGTTAGGCCACCAGCTCGAATCCATCCAACACCTGGATTTTCAAATTTTCAATTCACCTTCAACTTTTACTCCTTATCGAAAATAGTTCAATTTATTTCTTACTACTCGTCAACATCTAACGAATTCATAGGAATTTGTTACGTTAAAGGATCATACAGTTTCACTGCTTATACAAGTGGTGATGTGAGTGAACAGAGAATATTCTTTTCGACAACTTCTTCTTCTTCTTCTTCAGCTCCTACAGTTACATGTGCATATTGAGAAATTATGCGTGAACAACATCAAGATTTCGACTATCAGTTTGTTGTTATCATCACTATTCAGTTGAGGAAGTTAATTCAGAGAAGTTTAATGCTGGTAAATTACGAACTTCGTCTTCCATACGTCTAATGGTGACACCAAAACAGAAAGATGAATTATCTAGACTGACTAACTCATGTTATGCTTATCAGTTACGTCAGCAGTTTCAGATAGTCACATTTATCAACAAATTTTTTTGAACCGTTCTTCACCACTGCACATTCATGAATATCCACCAGTATCAAGGCATCCGTTAACAAGCCCATCTACCAACAGAGGTAGAGCGACTCGACCCTGTAGACTCACAGAAAATTACAAGTTTCATAACAACAACTTATACCCGTTGCACAACAGATGGCTCTCCTGCCCCAGCGGCTCAGTGGATAACGCTTTCGCATTTGAACCGATGGGTACTGGGTCCTACTCGCAGTGGGAACGACATCACTCAATCGGGGTGCAGGCAAATCCAACTGACAAGTCCCAAATAGGACGAAACACGCGTCCTGCATTCTCCTGCTAGTCAGTCACCAATATCAATACAATATCAGCAATAACATCATACTTACCGAATCCAATCTGTACAAATCCAGTTACAATAATCATAATAAGAGCAGCCAATTTTGCAAATGTGAATACATCCTGTATTCTAGTTGAAAACTTGATGGAAAAAGCGTTGACAAAACTCAAAAACGCTATTTATGAAGGATAAAAAAAGGAAAGAAAAAATAAATTCACTCAAGGTCACCAACAGTGAATGTCAGAATTGATGATGAATGTTTTATTCAAAATCTTCAGATTTAAAGTTCACTTCTAATAACATATGCATATGGCATATATATATATACGCAAACTTTCCCTATATAACTTGACTAAAGAGAGATCATTTGAAAACTAAAATTATCATAACCAGTTAACATGAATAAATTACCATTCGTACTAAAGCCTCAGTGCTGTAATAAATCTAGTAAAATTCAGGTTTAATGCACAGTTCAATGATAATAGAGGAAAATAAACTAGGAAAACGGTTACAGTCACAGCTTTATTCACCGAAATTCTTTAAAAAAATAACCACAACCTAACCAACTAGATTAATCAACTTGGTAGAAATAGATGCCTGAAGGTGAAGTTAACTCGAATCTCTGTGGCTATCTAAATTATTATTCTATACAGTGTACTACACTTGTGTAATCTCAGCGTATTACATTACATCTCAGACGACATCGAAACGTTCATCAACAATCCAATATATATATTCCTTTTGTTATTCCCTTTAACAAACTATGCCAGTAGTACACAACTAAAGTATCTAGATATCCAAATTATGATGGGATTTGATAATTTGAAAGAATTTCGGTATCGGGTAAATGATATTCATCAGTTTGATATTTCTATTTCCCACTAACTTCATCAGTGTTAAAGTAAACCGAAATCTATAATATCCTAGCTTATATACATGATAACTAGATATATGTTCTTCTGCATGAATAATTTTGTGTTGTTAAATTGTTGAACAAAGATGACATATCCATATGCAGTGTGTTCTATATGAATTACAGATTCATTGAGATTTCTTGGTCCTTATCGCATGTATATCGGTCATCTCACTGACTGAGAACAGGTTGAGACCACGTCAAACTATCTTTTACTACCTCACTCCTATTTAGACAAATTTGATTCCACATCATCTAAAGAGATTCTGTTAGGAAACGTTCTTTACAATTTCTAGAAACTTTCTGAATAAAGTTATACTTTGTAGAGCTACGGCCGAAGTCTTTTCAAGATTTCTTAGGCTCCATTTCATTCCTAACGCGTCGCGTCAAACCTCTTTGATGTTCTTCTTTCCAATTTCGATTTCACAGGAAGTTTGTCTTACATATACACCATTACAGTCTCTACATTTCGTTTTATAAACACAATTAGATTGTGAATCAAGAGGGATCTTGTCCTTCAAATGAACTAAGGAGATCTTCAACGTGTTCGATGTTCTGTAGAAAACTCTGATACTGCATTTGTTCAGCACTCTCCTAATTCCATCCAATGTGAGTAATCAGTAACAGCTAACTATTATTGACAGCCATGATTTTAGAGTAGTTTTACGATCTAATTTATGTGAACGAGAGAAAACGTGCACCGAACAATAATCAAAGCTGGTTAGAAAGATAAGTAACATTCGTCCACGATATTTTCAACTGTTCACCTGATTTGTGTAGGAAAATATCGACTACTTGGCTAGTGTATGTGAGAAAACCAGTAGTGTGAATATGAGTGAAAACGGCTTAAAATTGATGGCAGTGGTACAGATGTGTCATTTAAATTCTTACTTCTTCATTATCCTTACTCTTTGATCACTCATTTTCTTTTACACCTTTCTACTACTTCTCCAGCCTGAATTGAACAGTTCAAGTCCCGCATTCGACGATGGTTTGTAACTTATAGGTAACGCTCTATATACAGCAGTGGACTTAGCTAAAGTCTATTGGCACACAGTAAGAGATGTTTTATACCATACAGCCTCGTAACATAGTTTAGTATTACTCAACAAGTATGGTGGTACAATAGCTTCTCAGTAGTCTCTTGGATCAACAAAATTCAGATGAAGTAGTCCACTGGGAGTAATCAACAAACCCGTTACCAGTTCACCGTGTAATAATGACGAGCGAAAAGCGTATAAAAAAGCAAAATTCAACTAATCCACCTGCCCAAAAGCTTCATTGGTTCACTAAAATAACGCTTCAGCCTGGTCTTGAAAAGTTTCCTCGATGATATACCACTGGACAACAAAGTGAGCGGAATCCTAACTCAATCTATTCAACTCTCGTCTTCTTTGGAAAAACTTTGGAAACAGGGTTAACCAGTTCCTCTAAGCATCACCGCACTTCAAGAATCCATGTCTAGCACACTACATCATTTTTTCAACAAAACACCAGATTCAAATAGAGACAGGATAGAATAGAAAAGCACATTGATTGAAATTATTTGCAAACTTCCACAACTGATAACTATCTGACACATTCGCTTACTCAGAGCAGTAATTCTAAACAAGATCAACGAATCATTGACAAGGTTGAAGGTCTACTTGTTGAATAAATATTCGCCTATCGAAAATTCCCTAAGTACAAATGTGTGCCAATACTTTCCATTAGCGATAACCTACAGCTCACACCTTGCGCTAAACAATAAACCTCAAATGTGCAAATTATGCGTTCGGTAATATCCTATTAACGGATACTTTAAAAAACCACCAATGAAATCACAGTCCCCAAACCATTTTGTCCTTTCAAAGTACAAACTGAAGTACATCCCAGTGTAAATTTTTCTTTAATGACGACGATTAGTAGGTAATCGGTATTCTATCTCTCAGTTTGGAGAAATACAATTGCCCACCTTGGCTTGATAACCACAAAACCGCTTAACAGAACTATTACTATCTGATTTTGTAAGAAATCTTCGGTTTCCCCAGAAGCCAATTATACTATAACTGTCATGTGCTACTCATGACTATTCTGTTACATACACGAAAGTAGGAATTCTCGTGCAGTAAAGTCCTGATCGGTGTACAACCATAGTAGGCATATGAAATAGATTCTCAAAGGGAGTTCAAACTGATTTTTATGAATATCAAGTTGCGTGAAGTAAAAGTAGTGTTGTTGAGGATGGAATTAGGTTATACTGCAAAGTTCAAGTTCTGTTCTACAATAAATAAGAAGACACTATATTTGTGAAACGGACTGATGGGAAGAATTGTACACTGACCGGTCACTGAAGAATAATCAGTTTCACGTTGTTTGTTTTCTAAGTACTGACCGAAGTCTACAAACCTTTCAGTAATGTGGAGACTCAGTATCATACTGGACTCGGACTACTGTTAGATGGGTGAAAGCAATCAGCAGGAAGACTAATAACTAGGTTTCATGCTTATTGGCACTCATCAGCAAGGCGCGTCAGCAAGCCGTATTAGAAGTCAACCGTGGTCCTAAGAACTCAGTGGGAACGCTCATTGGTAAAGTACTCGGTCATGTGGATTCGAATTTCACAGAGAATATCAGTTCTTACGAGACTGCAAATACACCTAGCTGACAGGTGCCAAAAGGCACAGAACCAAGTCCCAGGACTTCCTGTTGATTACCTCACACCAATATGAAAGACTTGCATTCAGCTCTCACGAACAACGCCCATATAACAAAAATCCATGGGCAGTCTCCAAGAGACTCAAACCGCCTTGAAATAATAAGTTGGACCATTCAGAAATTTAGTCTCAAGTGTTACTACTGACCCCCTTTTGCCATAACCAAACTTCTTGTGATTCTGACGCGTCAATGAGTATGCCACAAGATAGATGACATGACACTGTTCAAATTCCTAATGATCAATTTTCGTAATTTGGGTAAAATTACCACTATAGAACAAGTTAACCTGTTCGTTCAATAGTTAGTTCGGTGCATCGACTAAGTCAAATATAGTAATGTCTGAAACTATAAACTTACTTATACATAAAGCTGCTAATATACTGAGCAATAGCATAGGTATCTCACAGTTTGGATATACAGGTTGTAAAACGTACTCAGCAAACGTTAGAGCTACAACAGCAATAGATACAGGTCTTACAACCATTACTTCTACCCACAGTCGTAAAAAGCCAATAAATGGTCCAAACGCTTCGTAAACATAAATATAATCACCGCCAGATCGTTCAATTATTGTACCAAGTTCTGCATAGGAATATGCTCCAAGCATACTGAAGAGTCCACACGCAACCCATATAACAAGACTAGCTCCAATACTCTTGACATTCTTCAGTATTCCCGTAGGACTGACAAATATACCTGAGCCAATCATTGACCCAACTATGATAGTAATACTGGTTACAAGACCGATGGAACGCTGCAATTTTACTTCATTCTTTTTATCCACTACAATAACATTTTCAGAGTCTTCGGATGCTTCTGATTCTTTCGGCATGTCACTATAAAAAAGAGGGAATGAACAGTTAATTTATGTCGGTCTTAACTGATCAGATTAGTTGTCCCACTTAGCAACCTGCTCAATTTAAAATACATTTGAAACTATTCACTCTGATCTTCACTTTTATAAATTTACGTTTTTCATTGGCTTGACAACCAACAGGACAGAAATACTGAAAATCTATGCAAAAGTTAACTGATTCTCATTTCCCTTGTGCAGCACTCTGATAACACACACCCCTAATACCTTACCGTAAACAACAAGGGATATCTAAAGCTAACAGTAGGTAATCTTGAAGAGGGATCAATGTTCTCTATATACAGCGTTGCTAAATGTAAACTCACAATCTTTTCAATGTTGCTATTCTTAAGTGATCCACCAAGAGATATCAATAAATAGTGAAATGCAATCCCTTTACTCATAGGCATACCTGGTGAAAGAATTAAAACATGTTTTCATACCAACTAAACTATCTAATACCAAACTGGGAGTTCCGTATAATTATAATGGTGAATAATTCGCCAGAATCAATAGCCTACGGTTCGACGAGATTTAACAATGATGCTAACCTCCATAGTTTTGATGGACTGGCCGAGCTGAAGGAATGCGTTCAGGCATCTGTGCTACTTAGCACGCTGTCGTCTTACTTTGCGTTGCTTGTACACAAACATCTAAGCAGCTAGTCAAGCCGTCTCGGTATTTTGGCACAGCTCATCAAACATACTACCCCTAACTGGCTACGTTATTGTTCTCTTCCTTGGTCTTGTATTCATAGGTCGTCTATAGGTATGAAGAACTAGTGGTTTGTCTGTGCGTCAGTTGAGATCGCCTGAGGCCAACTTCTAAATGATGATTCGATCACACTCAATTTCCAGCTTTTTAGGGCATTCGTAACAAAAACAGACTCACTGATTGAAAACCTGATCAAACTATCGATCAAAAAGTTAATATCAAGTAATCCATAGTAGTTTTGCCCCATCTTAAGTCGCGTTGTACTTAACACCATGCAATGCTTCCTATTTCTTGATATACTAAAGTGTGAGTTTCTGTTACAAAGTCGTAAAAGATGAGGTGCATCTATTTCAGAAAATGACGAAACTGCTTGATACTCAACGATTTTTGACAACTCTTGACTTGATATGTACTTATGAAAACCATATTCTGTCAAGATATCAGACTGAACTAAAAATAAGGTTTAGATTTGAGCATTAAAATTCGACCTTTCAAATCATGTTTCACTACTTTTCATTAGGAAGGAATAAGTTTATGTCAGTCTACGAATCAAACCAACATTTATCTGCACTGTATGAGAATACATACTTTTGCAGTAGCTCATGATAGTGATAAATTGTTACTGGAGAACAGATTTAAAGGGTTAGAAATGGTAGAAAAGATTTGTAGCTTAGAATGAGAGTGGTGGTGGTTTGATGTCGTCTGAGCTTTGAAGTTAGTTATAGGGATGTCATTAAGATTGATGATGAAACGTCTACGGCAAAGTACCAAAGCTCAGAGAAAACTGAAACACCGTCATTTTATAAGGTTGATGTAGTAAATACAAATATAAGTCATCAGTTCAAACTATAGCTTAATATTCGAGTGCTTTCACTCTAGGTATTCAATAAGGTTCAAGTGTCTTTTTCACCTTAATTTGGTGCCAAACATATTTTTGTTTGCTCCTCTTCTCAGTGCTTTTACGAAGTATGTTTAATTGTGCCAACTTTTCACTATGTTTAGTTTGAAGTCATCTTTTTCAGTTCAACATATGGCCAAATTAATTCGAAAGACTGAACTTTATCTTTCGATCCCTGATGACCAGAAAAAACCTATCTAGTACTCACCCATTCAAAAAGACACATGTATTTATACGTTCCCACTGGTAAGAATGAATCTATCTGTCCTATTAATTCACATATTCTGAGTAGCAATTAATTGGATACATGAACTATTATTACAGTGAGGGAGTACAAATAGTGATAAGGATTTGTCTATAGCTTTCAGAATACCAGTGGAAGAATACAGCTTTCTTCAAAAGGAACCTAAGAAATTTAGGTTCTGGTGCATTGGTGTCTGTAAGTGTCTCATAAACCCATGTATGGGTTACGAGAGATCATGCAACTCAGTAGCTTACAACGACAGCAGACATGGTTCAGAATGAAAGCCAGTGGCGATGCTGCTGGAGGCTTTGTGTTTTTTCCATTACTGAGAAGTAAAACAAGGGCACCAATCGCGTCTTCGAATGTAACTCCGAGTGCTTCTTCAAAAACTCACCTCTGTTTTGTTTTGACCCCCTCTTCCATTGTCTATATCCTCACAGTATTGTTCTATTACTTTATATGATACACCTATTTGTGACCGTTTTGTACCGAATCTCCACTCTGACAATACTGATGATAAGCAGGAGAGGGATGACATTATACTAATCCTTCACATCTAAACCAGGACTCAACACGTCAAGACGTTTTATGAATCAACATACAGTGGAATGCAGATTTTTCATAGGATGTATAACAACTAGAACCTGCTACCACAACAGTTAGAAGCAATTACCTTGATGAATGGTTCCAAAAGGAAAGGAAAGTTTAGTGTAAATACATAAACATGTGCTAAAAGTAGTAGTAGAAGTAGAAGAAGAAGTAGAATAACCCATTATTAACTCAGAAGACGCTCTTAATCCCAAGCAAAAGGGGACAAACCCAGTTCCTATTAGTTCCTCTTTACTACCATTACAGCTGTAACGCACTTTAAATCACTCATGAGTTCCCAGGGAGCATAAAATTCACGAGCACTATACGTTAGTCCACACACAATATATGGTGGACCTCGTTTCAACTACAGGCTATAAGCAGCAAGTTTATGTGTGGGACATAAAATGAATTCTTCGAAATAAGTTTGAGGAAAGAGGCTGAAATGATTTATGCTCTCTAAAGGCTTCTTTATGAGGAGAGATTAGACACTGATTTATTCCGGATGTTTTGCTGAAGGTTCAGAGGAGTTGCCACATTGGCGAACCATGTACTAAGTGGTATTGCGGATTTTAACTTGTCATTCATACTTTTTGTCCTCACAACTAGTCATAAGAATGGAGATGTGCGAATAGTTCGGAAAACGCTGTTCAAACTATGTTGACATCTAAAACCATGTATTTCGCATCAGTTTGTGAGCTCGTGGCAATCTGTGCTGATACACACCATTCCAACTCTCCCCATTGTGGTTTCCAAAAGAAACTGAATCTCCACTCCGCTTAGGACAACAGCTGTAAATCCACTATATAACGATTCTATTTGATTTTATCCAGTAACAGTGCTATTTACTGCTAACAACCATATCTAAGTGAGCGACAGATTATAGAAACGTCATCCAGTAATTAATGCTGTATCATCAATTGCTGATTCAAACCAACTCGTTTATAAGAAGAGTTATAATCTAAACCAGTCCCTGAGTTGAATCTTTGCATTTGCAAAGGATAATTTAGGATCTTTATTTATTTCTGACGAGAGCAGTTAAAAAGTTTGTTTTTGAAGGACTCAGTGTATTACTTTTCATGCCTCTTCCACTAGAGAGTAGAAACAACGCTATCCATTTGCAACACAGGAGAATATATTTCCTCTTACGTGATGGATGATCATCTCCAAGACCGGGACAAGAGAATTCAAAAGTCATGGTTGAATCAACTTAGCCTGAGCCGACAGTTCTCACACAGAGTGGTCAGCCAATCAAACTCCTCACCCAAGAAGGTGGTGTCAGTTCTTCCGGTGGATGCATCCAAAAAGAATCAAAATTTTCACAAAGAAAAATACAACAAGGACTAACACAGGTTAAATTTGCTTAGTATTCTTATTAACGAAGACTGATATTTTCCTGTTCCCTAACAAACTTAAAAGCCCAAAAAGCAACGTTGAGATTCAAAAACGGTTCTTGTGACATGAAGAGTAAGTGGAATACTAGTTTTATGATGACCTACATTACTTAGACGTTGTTGGGATCCTGATTCACAATTAGTTAGACATGATAGGTTCAACTAAAACTAACACCTGAAGGTTTAATGCATAAAGGCAATGTTATATGAGTGTATTTCAATAGATGAAAAATCCTAACATAAAGAATTGTCGGTCAGAATAAAAATTACCAAGGCAATTAAGATGCATATATACCAATCGTCGGAAGAAAGTGACAGTGTAGTCTTCATTGTAATCAAAACTCTGACATTTTCTGTACACAGACTATCCATCTTACCTCAAAAGCTGATTCGCCGACTAAATGACGATCTCTGATTAAAAAAACGCCGAAATGTGAAGGGCACGCGATATAAATCAAATGTTTTAAAAAAGTGACAAATATATACAAACAAGTTGACATGTTAAACAAAACACATGCAATGCATTTATGACAAATCAAATATCCACTACCTGTTTTGAGGTCTTGTATAAGCCAGGTGATTTCTTCGAGCTCATTTATGGGCCTTGTAAAACGGTTTCAGATGGTCGATGGATTCCGTTACGGTAAACCTACCCTCTAAACTATCGTACATCTAGTAAAAGCGACGGGTAGATGCATGTTGGTTACATTAGCAGAGAGCCGTTCGATTTTCTCATGGGACTTTTGTGCAGGTGGGACCCTCTAATATCATATCACCAGCGAGTTGGCCGGACTGATCGCAAACAGAAGATAAGCGGTTGGGTGGTAAACAAGAGGAACGAAGGGGGGGAGTAGGAAAAACATGAGTAAAGGAGGGGGAATGGAGGGAAAGGGGGCAGTGATATGGAGAGCCTAGATGAATGAAGGGAAGTTGTAGGGCGTAGGGGGAGAGAAAGCAGCAGGAGGGAATACAGTAGGGATAATGCAGAGAGAAATCATGATGTCAGTATTGTCAAGGTAACTGGGGGGGGGGTATGAAGTATCACAGGGAGGCGTGAGGTTGAGTCGAACTCATGATATCAGCTGAAATGCAAAAGCGTCAGTGTGGAGTCAAGTTTCCTGGAATGACGTGAAACCAGGTGGTTGTTTCAGTCAAATCCGTTTCCCGGCTTGATGAGCCCGATCCACGTGTCACTACTCGGCTGGCTTTCTTTGAAGCTGTCGGCAGATGACAGATGATGCGTCCCAGTAACCGAAAACTCAAAGGGAGGAAATGTGTTGAATCAAACAGGTTTCCGCCCTTTGATTGACTATCAGCCCTGAGCTTCCACGAAGATTGCCACAATAGCCGTTCGGTCAGGTTCCACTATTCGGGAGACTGGGACTGATTAGTGTCTTGTGGGCCACTACCAGGCCACCATGTAACCTGCGGCAACCAAGTGAGTAAACGCCCGGGCACTTGAGCCTATCCTCATCTAGCTTCAGCCGCATGCCCACAACATCCTTTGTGACTGGCCTCCAAACTTCAAGTGCAGTGGCGCAGTGACGTTGTGAAGCTCTAAGTGAGACCATGTGTGTGGCTTGCAAAGCTCTCGAAAAGCTCCGTGGTGGGGTCACTGAGTTGCTGGCCTGCGAAGGGTAGTAATGGGTAGGAACCGATGTCCGGTTTATCACCTGATAGTGGTCCCAGACCCTTCTCAGTGATCACATGACATAGGTGCGTGCCATAGATTTCGGAAAGATTTCTGCGAATCTGGAGTGTGGAAAAGTATGGCCTAACAGATGTCCGGGTCAAATGCCATTTCTTTGCTCCTCACTCACTCTCCAAGCATCCTGATGCGGCCTTATGGTGCTCGATTCTCTTTTTTGGGACGTCATACCCCTCCACATCTCTGCATCATCAGGGAGCTGGGACTCGATGGAAGGTAGCCTCCAAAAGTCGGGGCATCAACAGGCTCGAAATTGCCCCTTGTTACTCACCAGAATGTGATGCTATCCGAATTCCCTTGGTTTTTGTGCAGGACTCACCACCGTCCAAACAGTCCTCTAGCCAGGAAAGAAGCTGAACGCTGACACTACTTTGCTCATAAGGACAGAGTATGGTATTTTGTCGAAGGTCTTCGCGAAATCCAGAAACATCACCTGAACAGGGACATGGACGTCCCAGCATGCCGTCCAGTTGTTAAAAGCTGCCAGGGATTTTGAAATTCAGTGCTTACTCTTTCGGAAGCTGCATTGAGCATCATGTATTACTCTTTTTCGCTCAAGCGTCCCGTGATGTGGTGGTCTGACGTGCTCTCCATTAATTTTTGACCATACTGGCGTGAGTGTAGTGAGCCGCTAAGACCTTTGGTTCCGCCTATCCCCTCCCTCGAAGGGGTATGTTTTTGTCTAAGGAGTATTGAAGTGGGCTACTCAGTTGGTAGCAGAATCTGCACACACATTGTTTCCGCAGGTGTGAATTTCATTGCACCCTGGGGGATCTTCCTGCGTGGTGCTTGATTTTGTGTCGAGTCCCTAGAGCCACATATGCACTATGGTCTGATCTTTCTGGAAGCCTCCATCTGCGCCATGCCTCCCCCTGGTTGTCAAGTTCATCTCCGTATCCTAGAGGTCCGCTTCTCCAGCGAAACTACCACCGTGGGGACATTTTAAGGGGTTGTCTTTTCCTAATGGTGTCCCTACTAGCTTTCAGCTTTGGTTAGTCGATATAGAACTCCATCCTTGGTATCCTTGGAAAACGGAAAAGATAGAGCTAACTGGACACAACTTCTAGACGCCAACTACTCGAGAGGCACCGACAGATGCAACTACCCAACAGGTCTAGTGAATCCTCCAATAGGTATCGCCAACCCCATAAACCCGTCACGCACGGAACTAAAACGTACTACCTTCTGCGAAACAGATGCCACGGACCACGTTCGCATTTAGCTGAACCCCATGTATGTGGACACGATGTACGAATTGAGCACCTTATGTAAAGACACCACCCCGTTTACCTCGAATAAAGATGGTCTTCTTTCAAACCACTCCGCCTTATAGGGTATGACGACTTTTTCCATGAACCGACTGCTTTTTGATGGAAACAAATTGTTTCCACTCCTACAAGAGGCGACAACGTATTGGACGTAATATTTTGCTACAAAGTAATTCCTCGCTCGACAAATATAGTCTCTAAGTTCTCGGGAGGTGATCACGAAGCTGTATTTTGTGCAATTTCACTTCCTCCAACTAGCACTTCAGTTGGTACTTCCACCCCACAACAAATAGTACGCAGAGATCGTGGCAGGAAGAACTGGCAGGTGGCATGCCCACGGCTTAGGTGCATCGACTGGGGATCATGTTTCACCGCTACAGACCTCAACCTAGCCCTTGATATGTTTTACTACAACTCCGAAACCCATCTCTATCCTGTCGGTTGATTGGAAGGTTTGTAAAGAATCCCTCTATACTTTAAGCCGTATGTACTCTTCAGTGCTCATGGAGAGTTGCGCAAACTCCCGACGATATACTGCTTACACCATGACCTCAATGCACTTTGATTTCTAATTTTCCTAAATGAATACCGCCTAGACTGATTTGCGTGTGAATGATGAATAGAGTAGTTCACTTGCTGCTTCATCTAGATTGTGTACTTTCTGCTCACACACTAAGGAGCTGTCGGACTACACTGGGTATAGGCTTCCTCTTCTTAGTCAACGCAACAAGGCTTACAATAATTCGAAATGTTTGTATAAAATATTTAACGACATATTTGAGGCCAACCCTCTGAATCCCTAAACTCTTTCGTGTGATACTGATATGATCTGCGTTAGATGAACATTTTTTTCTTCAACTGACGCCGACAGGTACCGCTGAATTCACATACTGAAATATAAGGCGTTAAAATGCTCCAATAGGACGGGCACATGCGGAGTGGCAGCATACTTTCTTGGATATGATGGCCAACATATTCCACTATTGTTGATTAAAATATTTTCCCTGTCTTTAGAATCTGCCACATACCCCGCCCAGGCATACTCCCGGTTCGAAATCATTAGCTAACAACCGGTTGTGGTTCTCTTCTCAGCATTCCCGTCTGAGTAGTAAATGTAGACTTACAGACTTTAAAACTTATGCCAGTTATCTTGCGTATGGTTTGAGTTGGTGCATTAGGTCTCCTACTTACCCTGTGCATCGGTGACATTTTCAGTCGTTTTGCACTTGGCAGGCTAATTTTGTTCCCCGATGATCTCAAAGTTGCGCACACATTAACCTGTGCCAGTTTATCGTAGTTCCAACTGCTGGTATGAAGCGTGCTTGATATTATGTCCATGTGGTCTACTGCCCGGAAACTTCAGTTCAGTGCACACAAGTGTGGCTGAATATGTTTTTTGTTCCTTCGATGGACGCTTAGCCGCATCTGCAGTTCATAAAAATGCCTGTTCCTTAGGCTGAGGTAACGCGGTAACCTCACATTTACCGAAAAGGTTGCATCACAGACATGCGGAATCCAACCAGGATGCACAGCCCGTGGATTCCACTTCAAAGCAACCAAGTTCCTGCTCTACAAAATTTTCATGTATCCTCTGCTAGAATATCGTCCACTTATTTTGAGTAGCATACGCGTTAAAGGTTAACTCAAAATAGAGGGTGTCTCAACCTAATTTACATCTAGATCACGAGTATACGAAAGTGAGCAAGACCACAACTCCGCTTGCATGACTTGAAGTCTAGAACTACTTTGGATGACACGAATCAAAGTCAACCTCGCAGTTTTCCTCAGCGTGCTGCATAAAATTAACCTGATAACAACAACAACATTTGTTCCTGAATTTGCAAGTACGCATCATTTTTGCAGACACGGTCATTACATTTAGTGGGGAAAATCCTTGGTAATGTCACTCGCCATCTCTTCGCCATTCTGGGTAATTGCGACACTCAGGCTGAACGGACAAAGACTTTACTTCACATTCAAATAATGCACGTTAAGTTATATGCTGGAAAGCTGTGTTCACTATTAGGTGCGATGTTTTTTGGCGGGAATGAATATGGTGTTCGATGAATACTTAAGTGCGTCATGCAAAGAAGAGGAGGAAGCAATTTGACAAGTTCGTTCCCAGAGAGGTAATGGTGGCCCAATTCTCCTTCTTTTCGTTGCTAATGCCAACGGTAATATTAATGTACGGATAAATATCGGTTTTACAGGTATTTATAAATTTTTATGCGAACTGTATACCTCTTTGGGGCAGGTGGTCTCAATCCCCACATATTCACTCACTGGATGGCGCGAGCGTCATCTTGGCGTTTGCAAAAGACGGGGCCTGCACCTAGGCATCACATTTATCTTCCAGGGAAAAATAAGGCTTGCAGACAATACTTCCGTTGTGACACCTCACACATTTTCATAAGAATGATGATGAAAAGTTCATGAGTTAATGGTTGTTGATGGAATGGAAGAAGCTTTCATCTGACTGGCTTCGGCATCTACAATC